TTGTTGTTGTTGTTGATGGTGTTGTTGGTGTTGTTGATGGTGTTCTTGCTGGTAATGGTGTTGATGGTGTTCTTGCTGGTAATGGTGTTGATGGTGTTCTTGCTGGTAATGGTGTTGTTGGTGGTGGTGTTGATTGTGATGGTGTTGTTGATGGTGTTCTTGCTGGTAATGGTGTTATTGATGGTATTGTTGACTGTTATGGTGTTGATGATGGTGTTCTTTCTGGTAATGGTGTTGTTGGTGGTATTGTTGATTGTGATGGTGTTGTTGATGGTGTTCTTGCTGGTAATGGTGTTATTAATGGTATTGTTGACTGTGATGGTGTTGATGATGGTGTTCTTGCTGGTAATGGTGTTGTTGGTGGTGTTGTTGACTGTGATGGTGTTGATGATTGTGATACGTGTTCCTGATGTTGTCGATGATGTTGTTGAAGTTGTTGTTGTTGCTGTTGTGCTCCCCTTGCAGGGAGCTCGTGGTGCTGATGGTGCCCCTGGCCCCGCCGGACCCGCGGTGAGCATCTCCATCACCTCGCATGTAGTAACACCATCATCCTCAGTGGAGCTCCGTGTCCACCCCGCTGTAGGACAACCATCAGCCGTGGAGCTCCGAGTGAACCCGCTGTAGTAACACCATCACCCGTGGAGCTCCGTGTCACCCCGTTGTAGTAACACCATCGCCCTCCGTGGAGCTCCGTGTCACCCCGCTGTAGTAACACCATGGACCGCGTTTGCTCCGTGTCACCCCGCTGTAATAACAGCGCTGACCGTGCGCTCCTCCCGCAGGCCCCATCGGAGGTGTCGGTGTGCCCGGCTTCCCGGAAGCCCCGGAAACAAGTGGGTGGCCGCGCGAGAGAGAGAGAGCGAGAGACCGCCAGCCGCGTTCGTGAATGGGTCGCAGTCGAATGTTTGAAATGCGCTTCGCTCGTTTGCAACCGGCGCGCGAGCCGCCGTGGGCGATGGGCTCCAGCTCCTTCGACCGTTCGTGCGGCGCTCAAGGCAAGAGGGCCTCGAGGGGGTCAGGACGGAGCTCGGAGGCGCTCGGCACCCCCCCCCCCCACCCCCCTTGTTTTGCCGGCCTGCCACCCGTGGCTCGTCACCACAATGTTGCCGAGCGAACGCCGCCGACGGCAAGCGGAGAGTGATCATTCAAATTGACGTAGCGCCGTAGAGGATCGCTCTCGAAACCCCGGCGAGCGGGGTTTTGAAGCGGCCACAGTATCGCCAGTCGTGCTTGCACGAGACGAGGAGAAACGACGAACGGGGCGGAGAGTTGTGGCGGTGGGGATGGAGTTGGGGGGGTGAGTGGAGGGGGGGGGTGGTGAGTGGGGGGGGTAGATAAAACGACGTAGGTGAGGGAGAGGCGCACGTGTGAGATGCGCGGTGGGGGCGGGGGGGGGGGGGAGCGGTGGCAGGTGAGTTTCGCATCGCAGCACCTGGCCGACGAGGGAAGACGCAATCCCGGCCTCACCCCCGCCCCTCCCTCCCGCACTCCAACCGCTGGAGCAGGGAGAGAGGGTTGCCACCGCTGAGGTGCCAGCAAATCCTGCAAATAATGTCACGGGGAAGAGCATGTCCCGGCGTGCCGGCGGAGGGAAGAGCTACGCGCGTGTGCACGCTCCGTCTGAGCGCTGTTGTGTTGTTATCGCTTGCTTGGGATGTTATTGTCCCGGTGGGGGGTGGGGGGGAGGTTTGGGAGGGGGGGGCATTACAGATTTCCCAGGAGAGTTTTGTGATCTCAAAAGTGGGGACGACCGCGGGAAAAAACCAGGCCAGCCTTAACCCCCCCCCCCAAGCCCTTGAGCGCTTTAACGGGTGCTCGCAGACAGCGCTCCCTCTGACACCGTGGTTCTTCTTCTGCCGCGTGACCAGGGTGAGGTCGGCCCCGCTGGTGCTATCGGAGCCGGTGGAAGCAGGGACCAGCGGGAGAGCCCGGCATTGGCGGAGGCATCGGACCTGCAGGCCCTGCCGTGAGTACCCGCGACTCACGTGTGTGTGTGCGTGCGTGTCTGTGTATGTGCATGCGTGTCTGTGTGCCGTGCGCGTGTCCATGTGTGTGTGTGCATTGCGTGTCTGTGTGCTATGCTGTGCGCGTGTCCGCGTGTTGGTGTGTGTGCTGTGCGTGTGCTGTGTGTGTGCGTGCGGTAAGCACGACAAACCCGACGGTCCGAGTTGGATTCCCACTCATGAGCAACGATTAACCGAACCGGTTACTGGCACTCCGCTGGGTTGACTCGGCCTTAACTGAGTACAAGGACGGCATGCGACGTCAGGCCACCGGAGGAGGAGACGGCGGGTGGCCGGGCGGGCGGGTGCTGGCTGCGCTGCTGCCCTGGTGAAGAGTCCTGGCCCTAAATAGGTGGCGGCTACACACCGGCCCCTGTGGCCTATAAAGTACGCCTGCTGGCCCATTGTGCCACAAGCTGCCTGGTACCCAGTGTGGCACGACTGCCTGGTGACCCAATGTGGCACGACTGCCTGGTGACCCAGTGTGGCACGGCTGCCTGGTGACGCAATAGCTTCATGGTGACCCAGTGTGGCACGGCTGCCTGGTGACCCAATAGCTTCATGGTAACCCCAGTGTGGCACGGCTGCCTGTGACGCAATAGCTTCATGGTGACCCAGTGTGGCACAGCTGCCTGGTGACCCAATAGCTTCATGGTGACCCATGTGGCACAGCTGCCTGGTGACGCAATAGCTTCATGGTGACCCAGTGTGGCACAGCTGCCTGGTGACCCAATAGCTTCATGGTAACCCAGTGTGGCACGGCTGCCTGGTGACGCAATAGCTCATGGTGACCCAGTGTGGCACAGCTGCCTGGTGACCCATAGCTTCATGTGACCCAGTGTGGCACAGCTGCCTGGTGACCCAATAGCTTCCTGGTGACTCAGTGTTGCACGGCTGCCTGGTGACCCAATAGCTTCATGGTGACCCAGTGTGGCACAGCTGCCTGTGACCCAATAGCTTCATGTGACCCAGTGTGGCACAGCTGCCTGGTGACCCAATAGCTTCATGGTGACCCAGTGTGGCACGGCTGCCTGGTGACCCAATAGCTTCATGGTGACCCAGTGTGGCACGGCTGCCTGGTGACCCAATAGCTTCATGGTGACCCAGTGTGGCACGGCTGCCTGGTGACCCAATAGCTGCCTGGTGACCCAGTGTGGGCACGGCTGCTGGTGACCCAATAGCTTCATGTGACCCGCGTGGCACGACTGCCTGGTGACCCAGGTGGCACGGCTGCCTGGTGACCCAATAGCTTCATGGTGACCCATGTGGGCAGCTGCCTGGTGACCCAATAGCTTCATGGTGACCCAGTGTTGGCACAGCTGCCTGGTGACCCAATAGCTTCATGGTGACCCAGTGTGGCACGGCTGCCTGGACCCAATACTTCATGGTGACCCAGTGTGGCACGGCTGCCTGTGACCCAATGGCTTCATGGTGACCCAGTGTGACCCCGTGCCACGGAGACGAAGCAAGGACAACGGGCCCACGTGCGGGATCGCGTGGATAGACCGTGCCTCGCAACGCCGATGATGGGCGATGCAATGCTCCTGTTTTTTTCTCTCTTTCTCTCTCCGCAGGTCTTAGAGGCGCCAACGGAGCTCAGGGACCCAAAGGACCTTCGTGAGTGGTGCCGGCCGTGGGCCACCTGCGCAGCGCTCGGAGCGCGCGCGTTGTCGTTGTTGTCGTTGTTGTCGTTGTCGTTTGTTGTTGTTTTGTCGTTGTTTCGTTGTTGTCGTTGTGCCTTGGCGACGTTCATAACCTTCGCGCGGTTTGGCGATTACCTGGGGAGACAAAGGCGGCCGGGCGTGTGTTGCCCACCCACCCCCTCGTGTGCCGTGCCGGCCTTCATAGCTGCTCGCCAACAGCACTTGCCCCAACAGTCTGTTACAGGCTATACGGGGGTGGGGGGGGGAGTGATCTTTGACTCTAGTACCTCTACTACCTATGCCTGTATCTTTGCGTCTTAAAATGTGTGCGCTCATCTGACCGTGCGCCTCTGTCCACCGCTGTCCACCGCAGGGAGACTCCGGACCTGCCGGTGGCCCCGGATGCCCGGACCTCGTGGGCCCCTTGGGCCCCCCCGGTTCGTCGGGCCCTGCTGGACCCGAGGCATTGCGGTGAGTGCTGCCCCCTCTGCCCGCACTCCTCTTCTCTCTTTCTTTTGTTTTACGATCGGAGGAAGCAAGAAGTTGCTCGGTGTATTTGGCACTTGCTTCGTTCATCATTTAGTTTTTTAATGTTTTGCTTTACGTAACCCCCCCCCCCTCCTTTTTTAAATGAAAAATTTAACAAATATTTTCGCTCTGCTCTCCTTACCCCTCCCCTCTCTCTACCCCCCTCTCTGCCCCCCCTCTCTCTGTACCCCCCCTCTCTTCCTACTCTCTCTCTCCCGTGCCCCCTCTCTCTCCACATCTTCACCCCCCCCCTCTCCTCTCTCCCTCCTCTCCTGCCCCCCCCCTCTCTCTCTCTCCCCTCTCTCTCCGCTCCCTCTCCTCTCTCCCCTCTCTCTCGCGCCCCCCTCTCCTCTCTCCCCTCTCTCTCTCTCGTGCCCCCCTCCTCCTCTCTGCCCTCTCTCTCCGCGCCCCCCTCTCCTCTCTCCCCTCTCTCTCTCTCGTGCCCCCCTCCTCTCTCCCCTCTCTCTCCGTGCCCCTCTCCTCTCTCCCCTCTCTCTCCGTGCCCCCCCCCTCTCCTCTCTGCCCCTTTCTCTCTCGCCCCCCTCTCCTCTCTCCCCTCTCTCTCCGTGCCCCCCTCTCCTCTCTCCCCTCTCTCTCCGTGCCCCCCTCTCCTCTCTGCCCTCTCTCTCCGTGCCCCCCTCCCTCCCTCTCTCCCTCTCTCTCTCTCTCCGCGCCCCCCTCTCCTCTCTCCCCTCTCTCTCCGCGCCCCCCTCTCTTCTCCCCTCTCTCTCTCTCCCCCCCTCTCTCTCTCCCCTCTCTCTCCCGCCCCCCTCTCCTCTCTCCCCTCTCTCTCCGTGCCCCCCTCTCCTCTCTCCCTCTCTCTCTC